TGGGCCTCACCACAAACAGAGGTGTGGCGGTTTACACAGCTCCAGCAGAGAAAGCCAACCACAGGGCACACGGCACACAGCTGGACACTGTGCAGAGCTGCAGGTCTGCTCTACCACAGGCTCAGAATTACAGACCGCTAAGTTAGAAATTAACAGACAGTCAGAGGAGAGGCCCAGCCCTCGAAGAAGTCAAGGCAGAAGACGAGACATCAAAATTGTGGCTGGAGACAAACTGAAAAAGAGCCAGGCCTGCAGGGCTCCCTAGAGATAAACAGCAGCTTGGGATCGTATTGTAATCAGCGCCACCTAGTCCAGTGAGCTCAGATAAGGCATCAGACACATAGGTGGGTGACCAGAGCACCATGACTCAGACTCCTATCCCTTCCCCAAAATGCCTTTGATCTTTCTACATTAGAGGTTACAGGTAAGCTAAAGCTAGGGATCCCCAACATATATCCTTGCTAAATGCCTGGCTTCCCTATTGGATCCATATTAGCTAAGCAACCATAATTGAAAGCCCATAGAATGGCCTGAGATGTAGTCATTTTCATGTATAAAATCTCCCAGATGAAAAGTCTTAGTGCAAAACACTTTTGGGACCCAGCCTATCTCAGGAGCTTTCTCTCAATGAATTTGTCCTCCTCTTAACCCCCTTGTCCTTGTATCCATCCTTTGGTTACTAAGAGACACAAACTCAGCACACTGGACATCTAACAGTCTGGGAGTCACATCCCTATGACATTAGCTCACGGCATTCCTCCTCCCCCTTCACTGTCTCAGGAATGCCTGACGGCAGTTTCCTTAGACCAGTGAGATGTGACAAAGCAGTACAAATAGGGTGGATAGCAGGCACAGAGGGCTTCACATGTGGGGTGGGGCCCACCCAATGTGCCCAGCCTGCAGAAGCCCTGCGACAAGCACAGGAAACACTCAGGTACGCCAGGGAGTTCCCAGGCACAGAGCTCACAGGGGCACCGGCAAGCACCGACTTGAGTGCTGGGATTATGGGGCGCAGCACCTCGCCCAGCTACTGTACACGTTTTAGTGATCACAAAACATACGAGATAGGCCTGGAAAAGAGGGACAGAAGAACGCCAGTTTAGGAATGAAGTTCACTGACAACAAATTAGAAATGTTCAAAGCACATCTAAGCTGCCCACAGGTCCTCTCCACACTTTCAAACACTAAGCGACAAAGAGGTTTGGTTCTTATCAAAGAAAAGACAAAACAGCCCTGCGTGATCCCTGCTGGCCACACACAGCCAACTCCTGCACCCTGGCACCTTGCCCAGTGTCAACAGCCCAGGAGACTTCTTCACACACATTTCCTCCACAAAGAAAGCAGGCTTACAGTTTCAGAGAACGCTTCTCACAAACCCACTCCAAAGGGCAGTAACAGAAGGAACCCAATCAGCTCACAAGTAAGCTAAAGGAGGCTGCTGACAGCAACCCTGCTCTCCAGACAGGTGCAGTGATACTTGAGGCCCAGATGGAGCACGGCCACACGCACAGCAAGAACAGTGTGTCCCTGCTATTTAGGGTAATGGCCCTGGCATCTCGGGGAGCGTCCTGTGAGGCTTTCTGTTACGCCCATGTGAGGGAGAGCTGAGGGGACAAGCAGAGGAGGTATCCCAGAAACTTGGCAAGTCTAACCATGTCACAGACCTTCCCCGTGGACACAGGGAACAAGAGCTCATGGGTCCACATCACAGGAATGATTCATACAACTCCAGCCAGGACAAGGCAAGAGTTTGGGTTGAAGTGTGATGAAATGACGTAAGGACTTCTCAGCTGGGTGTGGTGGCACACACCTGTCATCCCAGTTCTCAGGAGGCTGAGGCAGGAGGATCACCAAGAGTTTTGAGCCCAACCTGGGCTACATGGTGAGTTCAAGGCCAACCTGAACTATACAGGGAGACCCTGTCCAAAGAAAAGAATTTGAAATAATGACTTCTGGCTTTTCAAGTTAGGCTGGATCATGGAGATATTATACTGGGGCAACCGATATACTAAGACTGGTGTCCTCTCTGCTGGGTGGTGGGATGAGGAGTTTGTGAAATTACTTAATTTCTGTGTATGTTGAAACTTTCCCCACCAAACGTTAATATAAAATAACATAAAACAGCACACCCACCCCCCCTCAGCCTGGCAGATTTTTACTGTGAAATTGGCTAACACAAGCGATCAGGTAAAAGGGCATCAACCATGCACATCCCCCGGGGCAAGGGGATGAGAATGCTGCTACAGCAAAGGGAACCAGGCTGGGTGACGCTGAGATGCCCAAACTCTCAGACAGCATCACTAGTTGCCCAGCCCTCTCACAGCATCGCCACAAATGCTGCTCCACTCAGACGGACATGGTCACCATAGACATCTCAGGGTCTGACAGCATCACCAGGTTCCAGGGCTTCTGCAATCTACAGGGCTAGGATAAGAAGCATGTGCACACATGTGTCGGTGCATACGCCAGCCCAGGACACAGGGCAGGACCTCAGTGGTGTCTGCATGCATGGTATCTGCATGGGGGAGACCTTACTGGTCAGTACTGTCCTACACAGATGCAGAGGTCACAGAGGCCCGGCCAGGGGCCCCCACAGCAGGTGCCCTCCCCAGGGCAGCTCACCCTACACACCCACCACACCCTTCACCTTCACACAGAGATGGTGTCAACACCTCCACCGGGGCCCCTCACCCCAGGCTCCACACGCCATGCTTGCCACCCACACGTGGGTCCCCAAAACACTCATGTGCTCAGAGGCAGGGATTCTGGAAGGTGAGCGGCTCATGGGAGTGCTGCAGTCATCAGTGGAGTCATTCACTGACAGGTCCATAGCCGAATGTGCTGTCAGGATTCAGGGACTGGTCAGAAGAGGCTTCACAGAGGCAGGTCGCTGGGGGCATACCCTGGAGGGGCACATCCCCCTCCCAGCCCCTTTCTTCTCGGCTTCCTGACCACCATGATGTAAGCAGCTTTCCTCCGCCCAGACCCTTCCACCACACCATTTCTGCATTTGATTCTGACAACCACAGACTGAAACTTCTGAAACTGAGCCAAAATAAACTTCTCCTTCTTTTAAATTACGGGTTTTGGATATTTTTTTCCAGCAACAAGAAAGTGACTAAGAACTGGGTCAACTCTTGCCTAGACCACAAGTTGCCACCAATCCCTTTTGTATCCAGCTGGCAAATGGGCATTGACAGATTCATGCACCTCACATGAGGGATCCCCCACTGCCTGCCAGACCAGGCCAGAGTCCTGCCCTCCAGAGACCCACGGAGCAGACCCATAGCAGCCTGCTTCTGTGGCTATCTCAATGGGCAGAGCACTGACACCCAGCTCCCCCACAGAGCCACGTGCCCCAAGCACAGATGCCTCAGCACCCATGTCCAGCGCTTCATGGCACCTGACCTTGTGTCTTCAAACACCAAGTGCAGCTGAAGGCACCAGAGCTCTGAGGAGCACCCACAGGCAGCACCTGGTGGGAAGTAAGCCATCACACTCACCTACATAGCCTATTTCTGCGGTGCTCTGCCAGCTACTAATGCCTCTCAGCCATGTGTGTGTCTCCCAGTGCCTGCAGGGCAGCCAGGTGCTGCCTCGGCACCCACCTGTCCAGGGCCATGATGCACTCCTCTTCCAGCAGGTGCCTCTGATCATGCAGGGCCATGGCCAGCCCCTCCTTCAAAGAGGGCACCCACAGGTGTCACCCCACAACGCCTGTCCTGAGGACACCGAGTTCCCCCTATGCCTTGCCATATGTGTGAGGTGGGGAACATTCTGCATGCCTACTACAATTAAATTCTGCTAGTGATAAAGTGAAGCCATGGTTTTTTTGTTTTTGTTTGTATTTTGATGTTTTTGAGACAGGGTCTTGCTATGCAGTTCAGGCTGGTGTTGAACTCACTCTGTAGCCAAGGCTGGCTTCATACAGCAATCCTCTTGGCTCAGCCTCCAGAGTGCTGGGATTACAGGAGCGCACCACCACGCCTGGCCTAAGTCATGATCTAAAATACATATTTTCACATGCGATATGCATGTTTCTTCTTTCTGAATATTCTCTCAAAACTTCATTTTCCTTAAACCAAATGAATGAAGACCTATAGGTTTCAGTCCACAGGGCAGGAGCCAGTGTCATCCCCACAGCATCTGCTTGCCTTCCACTTCTGACTAAGCAGGACACAGGCCACCAGCTGTGGCTGCAACTCCTGGGTACAAGAACCACCAAGGGACCCTCCCAGCAGTATCACACAGCTCTCCAAATTCAGTCCCAATAGACAGCACACCTCCATCCTCTTTGATCTAGTCTAGACATCTGGGCCAAATACACCCTTCCTGCACACAGGGAGATAGCACCTGGTATGACTGAGCCTGACTCTCTTCACGACTCCACACAAGACACAGCAGCCTTTCATTTCAGAAAAATAAAATGCCACAGGCAGAGGAACTGTGAAAATGCGACAAGTTTTAAGTGAGACAGACAAGGCCTATGCACCATCACAGACACCTGGCATCTGCAGATGGGCACTGGCTTTTGTCAACAAGGACTCTGCCAAAAACTCCCTGCATGCTAAAATCCTGAAGTGCCTGCCAAAAGGACCATAACTGCTCTCAAAATATGACAAAAGCACTTAACTTCAGGAAGCATCAGCAACAGAGGGACCAAGGGTCCATATACCCAACACAAAAATCAGACCAACCTACTGCAGCCCCAAAACCAAGTCTCACATTCCAGACTCAGGTCAGCCTCAATGAGGTAGGCTACTCATTCAAGTCCCATGTGCCTGCATACCCACTCTGCTCAGCACAGTTCAGGAAACTTCTGTACTCTCTGTAGCAAGAACAGAGGTCATCACTGCTGCTGGACATGTGTGAGTCACACACATGCACACATACAACACGCACAGATGCACAGAGAGATATGAGCACAGGTGCCCACACTCACATGCAATTTATGCATGTAGGCGGCAGGGAGACCTGCCCGGGCCAGCTGAAGACCTCACCTGGTGTGTACCCTGCAGCTCCCTGGCCAGCACTTCCAGTTGCTCTGCATGAATTGTGCTCATTTCAGTTCTCAGGCTGTCCTTTGCAGACTGAAGCTCCGCGTCATGTTTTTGCTTTAGTTTCTCCAACTCCTGAGTCAAAATCACTTGGTGAAAAGAGTCCTTTTTCCGCAGCTGTTCTTCAAGGTCTGTTTGCAAAAGCTCTAGAGCCCGCCTGTGCTCATCCCTAACAGTATGCATTTCAGAGAGGTAACAGGATTCCAGAGCATCCAGGTTGGACAAATGTCTTGTCTCCAAAGCACTGATCTCAGCAGCATGCTTCATCTGCAGTTCGGCCACTCGAGTCTCCAGAAGCACCTGCTGCTCACTCTCCAGGGTAGCCATCAGCTCAGCAAGCTCAGCCTGGTGCTTGCTTTCCAGCTCTGTTCTCAAGGACAGAAGCCGCTGCTGGTGCCTCTGCTGCAGGAGCTGGAGCTCTTGTGCATGCTTCTCCTGGGCATCCCGCAGGAAAGCATCTTGCTCTTCGGCAAACTTCTCCACAATCTCCTTGCGCTCTTCCAAAAACCTGAGGCAAAACTCTGAGTGAAGCGTGGCAGCAGGCTCATGGCCACACTGCACACACTCCCTCTAATACCCAGCCACTCTTCACACAGGAAGCTGCCTCAGCTGTTCAGAGGCACAGCCTGGCGTTAACCATCCTGAAGGGGAGCTCATGGACCACACCCACTGGAGTCAACAGGCCTCCGGCTGCAGGGAGGACACAGCACCACAGAGCAACTGTGCCCATACCCCCAGCCGGGGGCAACCAGCGCTCCAAACAGCACTGGGCCCAAGTCCTAAGCCATCTCTGCACCTCGGTGGGGAAAGGTACTACCTTCGGGGACATGGGGCCACTCAGCAACCCACAGGCCTGAGGAGAACGGCAGTGAATTGCAAGGCAGGCAGGAAGAGTCACTTCTAATGAGAAGAGTAAATCCTGTCAGGAGCCAGAAGAGCCTAGAACTGTGACACTAGGGAAGCATCAAATCCCTGTGTGCCCAGACAACACACTGGGCCTCCTATGGCTCATACCAACAATGGGACCATGCCTGTCTTCGTGTGCCAACCCTGCCAGACATTGTCTAAGTCAAGATGGCCTTGGGTGACCTTTCCATAACCTGGGAGCTCTGAAGTTCTGTGAGGCTGGACACCTGGCCCAGATGGGTGGGTCTGGACCTCAGCCTGCGTTTCTGACCCCAGAGGAGTCCTTGTAATGCTGGAGAGAGGTTAGGTGGCACAGAGGGACAACAAGGGGCCAAGCCAATGGCAGGTCTGATGACATCCTAACAAGGGCACCTTGGCTGCCACAGCCCCAACACTAAGGGCCATAGAAGGCCCAACACCAAGAGAGGCAGAGAACCTAGTCACATTCTGAATCTATCTAAAACTTCAGGGAAGCACAAGCTTTAGAAAAAAATGTTTATTTTATGGCCAGGCATAGTGGGGCATGCCTGTAATACCCCCCCACTTGGGAGGCTGAGGCAGGAGGATAGCCATGAGTTTGTCGTCAGCCCGGGCTACATAACAAGTTCAAGACCAGTCTAAGGAATACAATGAGACCCTGTCTCCAAAAAATTTTTAAAAAGGTTTATTTTCAAAACCAAATACTGGGGCCGGGGATTTAGCTCAGTGGTTTCACCGCCTGCTGCGCAAGCTCAAGGACCTGAGTTCGATCCCCAGTACCAAAAAAAAAACAAAAACAAAAAACCAAATACTTAAGGGCCGTGGATTTAGCTCAGTGGCACTGTGCCTGTCTCACAAGTGCAAAGTCCTGAGTTCGATCCCTGATACCAAAAAAAACCCAAATACTTTAGTTAAAAATACCATGGATAAGGCCAGGGATTTAGGTCAGTGGCACTGTGCCTGTCTCACAAACGCAAGGTCCTGAGTTTGATCCCTGCTACCAAAAAAAAATTTAAAAAATAAAAAAACACCATGGATGAACTGCATGTGCACATCATAAACCTTGGTGAGGTGGAGTAAAAGATGCACACCACAGGAGCTCAGACACCACAGGAGGATATGGCTGTGCTGCCGCTAATGTGACCATCATGGAGCACAGAGTTGTCCCCTTGTGGTTTCAGGGGAAACTCAGTACCCGTCCTACCTTCTTCCAGCTCTTCTTGCATGGTGAGTCCCACTGCACACCCTCCCAGGGGCTTGCCTCCTGGCCTTGGCAGGCACCTTTTGCAGGTGCCTCCATGCCACCCACGGCCCAAAGAGTCACCCACCTGTTCTGAGCCAGTATCAGCTGGAGGGCGCAGTCCTCCTCCCGGAGGGGGATGGGGTGCCCCCCATGCTGGGCCACAGGGGGCTCCCGGCCACACCGGCTGCACAGAAGAGCATCGTACCCAGCAAGCCCCTGCTCCAGCTGCCGCAGGCGGCCTTGCTGCTCTGTCAGGGACCTCTCCAGGTCCAGGATCTGGGCTGCCTGCTGGTCCTGAAGGCTCTTCATTTCAGCCTCCCGAAGCTCAAACCTGCTTATTATGGACTGCTTCTCCAATTCAGCCTTTTCTTGCAGCTCAAGAAGCATGGAGGTTACCTTCTCTTCGGCTTCTCTCTTTAGGTCTTCATGTGTAATCTCCCACTCTGCTTCCTTTTTTTTGAACTCCTGTTTCAGTAGTTTAATCTTCTCCTCAGCTTTGTTTAGTTCTGCCTGGTGGTCTTCCACTAAACTAAATTTTACCTACAGATAAAAGGTTTATTGAAGAGGAAAGGAAATAACGGGACAGATTATTAGAGGCAATAACCCACGTCCACCTATGAAGACAGGGAAACTTCCCCCAACACACAGGTACCGCACTGGGCACAGTGACGGGAATGCTTCTCATGTTGATAGGAATGAAAAGAACCTAGTGAAAAAAACCTAAAACTATTTGTTGGCCTCCACAAAAAGTAACACCTGGAAATACACACACACCAGTGGAGCAAGACCAGGGTCGTATATGACCAAGAGGACCATGGAGTCTGCTGTAGAGCAGAAGCTACCTCCAAGAGCAGCAGGATTAGAGGTCCAAGAGAGATGAGAACAGCACAGGGCTACTGAGTCCCAGTCTCCTAACTTATGATGAACTAACCTAAATTCCAAAGATATCCTGTGAACAGGTAGATAAACAAGAAAGCTGAGGATAGGCAAATATCCCAGGTTTTCCAGGGGAAGAAAGTAAATCAATAAACTACCAAACAACATCAGAAAAAACAAACAAAAACCAAGAAAAGTATGTAGGGCTGGGCCCAACTCCTTATTTAGACACAGTTTATAGTTCTGCTTCTGGCCACAGCTGAGCAGCTCTGATCAGTCCTCGCAGGGATGGCAACTGTGCACCCAAGTGAGACACCAACGACTTCTGAAGCCTGGAGATAGCTGACAGAAGGCCGGCCTAGAGCGAGGCTGACCCTCGAGAGGAGGACAGGAACCACATTATCTCTCCCTTCTACAGCTTAGCTGACAGCAGCTGACTGTGTGCCACCTGCAGAAGCCAGATCCAGAAAGCAAGAAAGGAAAGCCCTCAAGGCAGATCCCTAACCCATACACACATGGCGAAGACCCCAAAAGCAAGCCTTGGGAACAGCACCTTGGCCCAACACAGAAGAGAGGCAGTGTGGGGTATGAATTCAGCCAAGTCAACCACCTGCTAAATAAAACACCAATTCTTGTTAGAAAAAAATAGAATCCAGTGTCTCCACAACATATAATTCACAATGTCCAGGATATACTCAAAAACTAGTGGATATACAAATAAACAGGAAAATCTGACTGACTAAAGAGAAAATACAATCAATGGGACCAACCCCAAGGTAACACAAAGATATCAGCAGAAAGGGGATTTAAAAAATCTTTAACTCCCGAACAAAAAAAGACCTGTCACCCCAAATATTTTTATGTAGCAAAACTATTCTTCAAGAATGAAAGTGAGAGAGACTTCCAGGAAGATGGCGGAGTGGTGAGCAGCAGAGAAAGAGCTTCTTCAAGATTTGGTGTCCTGACACTGGAATACAGCAGTGTGAGGAGAAGGAGAAAGTGGGACTCCAGGACCCAGGAAGGATCTGAGGTGAGAACTGCAGTCCAGGGGAGAGTGGAGAGACAGACTTTAATGAAGAGGGAGGTACCAAGCAGCACTCTCTCCCAGAGCCCTAAGTCTCCTCTGGGGAACAGCGGGCCAAAACTGCAGACCCACAGTGACTATCGACAACCCTAAAGGCCTCCACAGAGAAAAGCACAGGTGGAAGGGAGCAGTGGACGAACCAGACTGCAGCAGCTGACGAGTTATCTGGGTTCAGACCTCACATAGGAGAGGGTAATTGGCTGGTAGCCATCTTGGAGAGGGGTCAACTGAGCTCAGAACAGCTGCAGGTGGACTCCATCTAGTGGCTTCTGGTGCCTCAGTGCTCGAGCTGAGTTCAAGTCAGCAAGAGGTGAGGGAGCAGAGTTCAAGCCAGCAGGAGACACACTGTTGCAGGCTCAAAGAATCCAGTTCCAGCCTCATAGCCAGAAACCAGCCTGAACTTCAGAGGAACTAAAGGGGCAGGCTGCCTGGGATTATCCACTACCCCACCTTGAAGCTGCAGCTAGCTTGCTGGGATTAATCAATTTGGCTCTTGACTCTGTTTGCCTACATTGCCTAACAGTGACAGCAGAGACACACCTTGAATTGGACGTTTTTGGGTTATCTTTTTTCTTTCTGTTTTTCCTTCTTTCTAGTTCTTTTTTTTTTTCTCAGTACCAAGGATCGAACTCAGGACCTTGCACTTGTGAGGCACACAAGGCACCACTGAGCTAAATCCCCAGACCGTCTTGTTTCGTTTTGTTTAGTTTTCTTGATTGTTTGACCAGTTTCTAGTGTTTTGTTGTTTTGTTCTGTTGTTTTTATTTTTCCCTTTTCTACCTCCCAACTGTCTTCTTCACCACTTTCCTAAAGTTTTTCCTCCAGCCTTGCTTCTGACCTCTTCCTTTTCTTCTTTTTCTGTTTTTTACCCCCTAACCCCTTTTAAATCTCCCTACGGGTAAAAAAGCCCTATTAAGAGCTACAATTTGTCATTTCCTAGGCTGTATCTGATGCTATTGTTATTGTTGATTGTACTACTTTAGCCAAGGTGACATAACTGTGCTAATCAATTGTTCATCCTGGTATAAAAAGACTGAGATTACCTAAGGGTCTTTTAAAAAATAAAAATAAAAACCCTACAGGCCAATGGCAAAGAACTGGCAGCTGGGCCAACTAGGCAGAAACTTCTCATCCCCAATAAATTGAAGAGGTAGGATTCTGCAACAGACTCAAAACCCAAAAGCTAGCTATACCTGGAAGACACTTCTGAGAAGTAGTCATTTCTTAAAGGCTCTGAAAACTGACAATAAAGTTACTTGCCATAAGCAATTTACAACCATCAACTCGGGAATCAAATTTTTAAAAAATGAGAAGACACTTAAACAAGATCCAACCTCCTCAGACTTTCAGCAAACCCTGGGGGCAATGAAGTGGAACAATCCGAAAGCCAGCCACCTGGACTGTCTGAGGTGGTAGCAGCAGAACTAACAAAGGCTCTAGAAAAAAATCAAACCAGAAATAATTTCCCAGATAACTACAAAGATGGTGACCAGAATGAAAGATACAGATTAAAAAAAACAGAGGAGCTCAGGAATGTGATGAAAGCCATGAATGCCCAGCATAGGAAAGAAATGGAATCCATGAAACAGATTTAAACACATATCCAGGAGATAAAAACTCCATTGAAAGTATCCACAGCAGAATGAGCCAGTGCAAGGACAGAATATCAGATATAGAAGATAGGATTGCAGTTAGTGATCAGGAAAAGAGAGATTTCTTTAAAATAGCAAAGGACATTCCGCAGCCTGCCTTGCAAGCACAAGTTCCAGAGTTCAATCCCTGGTACCAAAAAAAAAAAAAAAAGCTAAGGACTATGAGAAATCACTCAAGCAGCTGCTAAATGATGCAAAGAAGAATAACATAAGACTGATTGGAGTCAATGAAAAACCAGGAGATAGCGCAAAAGACATAAAAAACATGTTCTCAGGAGTAATAGCAGAAAACTTCCCAGACAGGGAAAAAGAATTTTACACATAGATAAGGGAGGCATATGGGACCCCAATTTACCATGATCAAAAAAAAAATCTTCCCCAAGGCAATAATAGTCAAGATTCCAGAAATTCAACACAAGGACAGAATATTAAAAGCTGTTAGAGAAAAGAAACAAATCATCTATAAAGGAAAGCCTATCAGAATCACAGCAGACTTCTCAACTCAAACTCTCAAGTCAAGGAGAGCTTGGAGTGAAGTATTTCAAGCCCTAAAGGAAAGCAACCTCCTAGGGCTGAGGGTTTAGCTCAGTGGTGCTGCCATCTGCCTCACAAGCACAAGGTCCTGAGTTCGATCCCCAGCACCAAAAAGAAAAATGTATATCAAAGGAAAGCAACCTCCAACCCAGATTGATGTACCCTGTGAAACTATCCTTCAAAATTCATAGAGAATTAAGATACTTCCGTAATATAGAATACCTGAAGAAATTCATGACCACCAAACCAACACTCCAAAGTGATCTGAAGGATGTTCTAACACATCAACCCCAACAGAATGAATCCACCAGGCAAGGCAAGAAATTAAACAGAAAAGGAAAGAAGGAAGCCAACAGCGGAAAAATAACATGACAAGAGATAAGATAATACATATTAGTTACAACCATCAACATTAATGGTCTCAATTCACCAATTAAAAGAAACACAGACTGGCAGAATGGATTAGGAACCAAGACCCAACAATATGCTGCACACAAGAAACATTTAATTGAAAAACAAATTCACAGACTGAAAGTTAAGAGATAGAAAACAACATTCCATGCCACAGGAAACCGGAAAAAAGCAGGGGCAGCTATTCTATTTGCAGACAAAGTGGATTTCAAGCCAAGACTGATTAAGAGAGACAAACAAGGTCATGACATCCTGGTAAAGCGAACAATCCAAGAGGAAGAGATAACAATTCTAAATATATATATGCACCAAATAGCAGCCCACCCAACTATACAAAACAAATATTAACAGACATGAAAAATCATATACAACTAATACAGTTGTAATGGGGGACCTCAATGCCCATTGTCACATATAGACAAGTCAACTAGGCAAACAATCAACAAAGAAATATCAGAACTGAACCAAACTTTTGAACAAATGGACTTAGTAGATGTCTACAGAGTGTTCCACC